TAGCGATGACAGGGGGGCTAAACTTTTTTTTTAGCTTATTTACATACATAATTTTTAATAAAAATAATTACACCCTGTAAAGAAACCGTCAAGTGGTTTAGCATAGCGTTTCCGCCCCTTAGGACGTCCTAAAAGCTCTTTAGAATCCCCCTAGCCTGTCGCCTGTCCTGTGAAAATTATCAAATTTGTAAGTAGAAGTCGAAGTAAAACTTTTGTCACTTAGTCCGCTGAGAATAGCCCTCCTGGACAAAACCGGACGCCACGCATTAGTATAATGAAATAAGGACAATTTGCATGGAATAGCTCACACGCACGCCCTAAGCACATGACGATGTCTCTCAATGGGCGACTGACTCACTCAATGAACGATCTTAATTGATCTAAACTATTCCTAATGCATATCTCATTTGATGACGATATCCTTCAGTTAATAATGATCTCGATAATTTTACAGATAAGTGGTAAAACAAAAGTTAATTTGCATAATTACCCATTTTAATTAAATTAACTGTTCCTGGTGCAAATACTGAGCTACTAATAAAAAGTGCCGTTTGAAACTCTTAAGTTTTTTAATTAATATGGTCTATAGTTTACGCGAGTAGTACACATTTAAATAAAACACTTTAACGGTAGCCCTGGTCACCGGCTGCTACAAACGTCAGGTTGTACCTAAAATCGTTTTCAAATACGTTTAACTAATATTTCGCGTTTTAAATCGTTAAAGTGTTTTATTTAATAGTTTATTTTTGCATGTATGTGAGATGAACTTAAGACTGTCAAGAACATATAATAGCAATGTCGGAATTGAACGTAATATTTTAAACCTCGTAAATTTTATAACTGTCAAATATAGTATAGAAAGTACTATTAAGTACATTTAAAAATATAATCCAAAAATATATATTTTTTTTGTACATATACGTATTTTGATTTAAGTTAGACAAGTCATAATAATTATTTTGCATTTTTGACGCCGGCGCCAGGTAAAAATACGTCACAAAACTATTTTTAGTGCAATAAACAATAAGTCATGAACTTAGTATTAAAAATGAGTAGAAAATTCTCATAACTATTACCATTCTTGGATTTCTACCACACAGAAACAACTATGACCTAACAATTTCCACGGAAAGAGCTGTTATTGACTGTCATTGATAAGATAAGACCGAGATAAAATATCGATGGTTCTTGATAGCTTGATAGCCACGGTTGATACTCGTGATAATAGTGTCGTTTATCTCGAACAGCGCCGTTCCTGACTACGAAGAATTATAGGACTTAACCACTGATTTTAGATATGATTTTTCGTGACAATCGCCACCTTTTTTATTGAAATTACTAAATTATAATATGGATTACATCATTACATGTTTGTGATTTTAAACGGAGTATGTACTTATTATCTTAATATTTTACAAATAATGATATATAATAATAGAATCCCTAGTTCGTTTAAAACGTAAAATATATAGTAAATGAACTTTTAACGAACACCTAACATAATAGTTCACAGCTGGGTCAGCATTAATTCGCTTTTAAACCATTAAAAATGGTTTTATTTACTTTCCTTTTGGCATTCCCCCAGACGAGTATTAACAAAATAAACTAAGGATTCGTAACTATCAGTCGCTCATCGTCCTTTATGTTTCAAGCGGTTTAGATACTATTGTGTTTACAATTGACGCTTATCATATTTTATCTCAGATTATTATGTTATCGACATTATTAGTATTATCTTGAACGGGTTAAGTTCCTCTATTCGAAACTTATAGAGAATGTTGGCGCTTAATAAATTAGACAAGAAATACATAAAAAAAAAACACTTTAACGGTTTAAAACGCAATATATTAGTTAAACTTATTTGGAAATGATTTTTAACTTCGGCCCGACGTTTCGGATGCTTTGCAGCAGCCGTGGTCACGAGGAGACTCTCCGTGGCCACGGCAAGTGTTTTATTTAAATGTGTACTACTCGCGTAAACTATAGACAGTATTTAAGAAATACATTGTTCATCTTTGAGAGCTTCCGTTCTGTACAAAACGGTTCATACCAAAGATATATGTATGAAATAATGGTTTTCTTTAAAATATAAAGAAAATTCGTACATCTTTCACATTCAACCCACAGACACTGTTTATATGGGACTGAAACATCGAACTACTTATATGCAAAAATAACAGGTTGGCATACATTTTCGCCTAAAACTATCTATAGTCTATATATTAAATAACAATAACTTGAAGATAAAAAAAATATTGCTGCAAGTACTGTTTCATTTTATTACAAATGGGTATAAAAACATCTAGCACCTGCATGTTGTGGTTACAATAACACTCGTCTATTTTGATTTCTTTCAAAGATAATCGATAAAGTAGTATTAATCTATAGCATTGCCAATTAAATACGACGTATCTTAATCAGGAACTACATGCCTGACAATGATAATGTACTTACGTATAGATTTGTATACAATGTCCCAAAGACGAATATTTAAAACTCACTCTGCTTTAGGGATCCAGACCTAATGGAAAAAGCATGGCCTCTGGACTAAGACACCGCTGTCTGCTTATCGTTATAGCTAATATAACGGAGGCCCTTAGTGCGTTTTAATAAAGTGTTGCTTAATGTCTACCACCACGTGAATTACAGACGTAATTCACGTGAGTAGTAGATATTTAAATTACACTCTCTCCCCGTGATCACGACTGCTGTATCCGAAACGTCGGGCCGTAGTTAAAATCATTTTTAAACATTCTTCTCGTTTTAAACGGTTAGAGTATTATATTTAAATAAGGATTGCTTACCTATTAATATTGTAATGCCGTCGTTTCTAAATACTAAATATTGTTTGTTTGGTGTATCATGAACTCTATAAATAGTAAATACGTTGAAGGTACGTAATTTTCTCAATTCAATCAATGACATTGAGTCTTTACTCTACTATTATCGGAATTTCCGAATCATTAGCCTACATTCACCAATACACTGTTCTCTTAGCAGTTTGGTTCGTTGGTCGAACTACAGGAAACGATCGACTAAATTTAGGACAACATCTGCTTGGCTTGGCCCATCCGTTTTACTTTTCACGATGTATCGCTACAACAGGTGAAACGCGTTGAAGGAGTAAGAACATACGTAAACAAAAACGATAATAGCGCAGGCGCATATTATATTTGGATTTTATCAAAGCAATTGATCAAAAAAATTTGTCTTTAATATAGCTATTACTTAGTAGGCACATAAGATAGACACCAGACATTGAATTAAAAAAAACAATTGATACTTTAAACTACTAAATACTTGTGTATTTTTTACACGCTTACTAAAAGTAATACAAAAAGTATGTATAAGGGAATGCATCCTCTTTAAATAATCTGAAAAAATGTCCGCGACACTATATGTCTATCTCTTAAGATTAGCTTGCAAGAACGACGGGTCGCGAGCGACGGGAACATATTATGTCGTGGGCAGCCTAAATTTATAATGATGTAGGTTTGCAAAAACAAATCTGGATGCCCAAAACAAGTATTCTACGCTGACACAGCTAGTAAGAAATAAAATCTATGGATATCCTAAAGGCAAAATATACTCCTTTATATGGTTTAATTAGCTATTGATACAAGTATTGACATATTGTGATACATTAGTATTTAGCCAATTAATTTAATAACTTCGCTCTCCATGACATAGTATAAGAAACCAGTTGTGCACTGGCTCAAATGTTAAATCGATCCTATGTAGGACACATGTGTACATAATTACATAAGTAAATGTTGAGCCCTGTTCAAATGGTGAAATGCTATATAGAGCATAGCATTATTTATTGTAGAGTTTTAATTTAAATAACACTAACACTTACTGCAGTCTTTGCAAACTTTACCATAGATAATAGAATAATCTAAAAAAAAAACGACGAAGTAACGAACTTTACCTTGACACTGGCAAATAGTTCATTCTTCTTGCCACAAAAGAAAAAAAAAGTAACGAACAAAAAGACTGAGCTGTCAAACATCAGGCTGCGACCAATAGGAGCGAATATACTGACGAAAACCAAAAGACACGGGGAAAATTATTAATAATTTTCGTTGTGTGCTCTGTAAAAACGGGTCAAAAGGCCAAAATAATATCTATTTAAAAATTATTCTTCTTTAAAGAATCTATACAAATGTTCCCGATAGTATTTATCTAACTTTTAAGATTAACACACAATAACCGTTTTTATGTGTATAAAATTTTGTCATAATACGTCATATGGCACAAGAACGATTGCTAGGTCAACTAGTAGTTTGATCTTATCCACCTCACCAGTATTAATAAGCCAGGGCATTTACTGTAACATAGTATTTAATAGCGGGGTAACATTAAAGCTAATGTATCTACAAATCCATTTATTTGCGCGAACACCGTTTACTTTTACGACTGATCCAATCAGCCAATCATCTAGCCGTTAGCACAATGTTGCAACTCACGCGCAACTTTGTGTAACCTTTGCTACGATCTATTTTTAAATCGCATACGATTCCGGGAAAAGAAGTTTATGCAAACACTTCTCCTTGACATGCTGTTATCCATAATAAGTAATAGTTTTAACTGATCGCGGTTGTGTACAGAACATTAAAAAGGGATACAAAAACGCTCTAGCGTTTTTTTCATATTATAAAAGTGAAATTTGAAGTAATTTCTTTTTTTCATTAAACGAAAAACTCGATTGCCATTGTGAAAATATTTCAAGATTGCTTGCGAAGACAAGCGAGTTGAAAGTACAATTTTTGGATTTTGTATTACTCGGATAACAAGAAATAGATAACACAATACCAAGCGAAGAATAAGCTTCCAATGCCTAGGGCATGTAGGTAGAAAAACTAAAGGCATACTCTTGTTGAATTCGATAAATCCCAAAATTCCAGGATTATACTTACTTAAAACTACATAAAAAGAGTAAACTAAGCTGTATATTGTCAAACTTTGAATAAAACAACACTCTGTATACGACAGCAACAATGCGGGTTAGAGGCAGCTCATTTGTCACCATCGCGGCGCCTCTCAGCCTCATCTTGTTTCGAGTCGGTCAAGCTTTCATCTCGACTCTGACTGATGGCTTGATGGATATGGGAACGATTACAGCCTCATCTATACACAAGCTAAAGGTTATACCTTTCACTGTTAACAATGAGATGGCGGATCAAAGATTTGATTTAGATTCAATTATTCAAGCAAATCGAGTTGTTTGGCCGATTCTGTTGTGATTATTGTTTGCAACAAGATGGTGGAGTATTAAAATGACAAACAAGAGATTAAATCGAAAAAAAAACAGATTATACGATGTTGTTGACATTACATTATCACCTAGCATGGAATGCGAAAATAATGGACTCTAATAGTCTGTAAACAACCTATAGTAAACAAATTAAACAGTTTAAAACGCGATATATTTTAGTTAAACTTGTTTGAAAATGATTTTTAACTTTGGGCCGACGTTTCGGATGCTTTGCAGCAGCCGTGGTCACGGGGAGTCTGTCAGTCTCAACAACAAGTGTAACTAAAATATATCGCGTTTTAAACCGTTAAAGTGTTTTATTTAAATGTTATAGATAGCCTTTTTGAAATTTGTTCGTTCTATCATTTATTCACTTACGATCCAGTATCGCAATATAGATTGCGAAACAATTGCAAGTTAATCTTAAAAAAGTATAGCAGGTCTTTTTTTAGATCATTTAAAGAGGAATCATTATTTCATACATATTTTTTGGGTAGCATGAACCCTTTTCACAGCGTACGCCTCGGAAACCCATAACAATGATTAATTTTCCCCTTTTTTTCATATTTCTCGCTGTATTTTCGTACAGGTACAGTCAAGGGCATGTTTTAGTTAGAATTTTCAATTCGAACTCGTAGTTCCTGAGGTAAGAGCGTTCAAACACACAAACTCTTCATCTTTATATAATACTAAGTATACTTTTGTTCTGCTTTAAATGGTTGTTTAATAAAAACAAAAAAGATGACTTACATCGTTAGGTATATTGTGCCCTTCAATCGTTACGTCTTTGAAGTAATATTATTGGAACAAAAAAGGGAATTAAAAAACTTCGTAGCAGGCGAGAACAGTTTAATAATTTCTCCGTATAAGATTCCTATAAAATGCCTATATAATTTTAAAAATCGAAAAAAAATTGAAAAAATTTGCGTGCAGGACTTGAACCGGCATCGACGATGCCGGTTCAAGTTCTGACGAGTCGAAAAGTTTCAAATTTTTTTCGATTTTTATAATTTGGATATATAGTGCCTCCATGGCAATAACATGTGTAAAATATTAATTTTTCAAAGCAATGCCTCATAAAATCTACTCAATTTATAAATTGAATAGAAACACTTGCGTGAAATAAGAGCAAATGTGACCTCTTTATGTAGAATCGGGGTTCCTTTTAAGGACAAAGATTCTATTGCAGCATGCATTGTTGGCAAGTTCAACGACCCGCCTTTTAATTATTGTTTATATTCGCGTGATACCACACAATGCCGGTTATTTGTTGTATTTGCATGATAAATTATATTACGTACCTAAAACTTAATTATAACAGACAGCATTATTTTTATAACTTAACCTGTTTCACAAACTCCTGTTCTAGATGCTGAGATAACCTTTTAGCAAAAATATACATGGGTTACGATTATGGTTTAGTTCTTGATATACCTTTATATACGAATATACCTTTGACATAAGGCAGTCAATACTTTAGGGGTAGAATTATAATAATATAAGTTACGTTTTAATATTATACTAGCTGCCCCGGGACTTCACGTCCGCGTGGAATAGTTATTTGGGGCATAAAAATTTATTTTTGCAAAAACCTCTTCAGCTTTATAAACTCTAGCTGTTACCTACCTAAGACGTCGTTGACGTGCCTACATTCTTGCAGGTTAATTTTAAAGATAGGCATATAATGTATAGTACACAGACATTTTTTTAAATCATATATAGAGTAATAATTTTTTCAAACATATTTTTTGTTTTCTCCAACTGTTTTCGTAATGCACGCAGCCAAGGCTCTCAAATATTTTTGTCCACATTTTACACTCCTTCTTCGCGCCTATTGGTCACAACATTATGTTATATAGCCTAAAGCAATCGATAAAGCCTCGATAATTTAAGAATTCTTAAATACAAACTGAGATAAGTGCATTAAAACAGACAAACAAACAAACTCTTCAGCTTTATAATATTAGTATACATACTTACGATTTAAACACTCCTAAAATTCATTGATAATAATTAAAATTTCTAAACTACGTGACCCTAGCATAATCTCTCGTTATCTCTATAAAATCATGTGTTTCATTTACATAGTGTACCACTATATCCTTTCCTCATCTACTATTATTCAGTTTCTTTCCGTGAACGGTGGTTGGTGACCCTGACAGAATTTCTGTATTCCTACCCATTTTAATATCCAGATTTCCAAACGAAGTCGAACATATTTCAGAAAAATTATAAATTCGACACATTTTGGACCCGGTGGATAATTACATTATACATATACATTGCTAACATTACATCGACAAGCTTTTCAAAACATTATACTTAATATAAAGCAGATAATCAAATGATTATCACAAGCATAATATTTACGGCATATCGAATGTATACAGAAGATAAAAATAGCAGCGGTCTAAAACAGACGCGCTTTTTTACCTTGACATAATAAGCGTAAAACACGAGATCGTTATACTTAAAAAGGTCTTTTGCTCTCATTAATATTTGCTTATTAGCATATAACTTGAAATAGCTTGTCAAGCAGTGAGTGGCGTTACAGGGGAACGGAAACCCTTTGACCTTTTGTTTATAGCGAGGCGCGGCGGATATGAACGGTCGCTGCCGGAAGTGCGTAGTCAACACACATAATGAGGCTTAGGGCTGCCTCTTAATCCTTATCCCATGAGTTTATTCAATACTTTGCCTTTCATAGAATTCATTATCACATAGCTAAAGAGTTAATCAGCATGGGGATTCCTGACAGAAGTTCACTTATAAAACATCGATGAGCCAAACAGACTAGTGATGTAACGCTTTACATTCCAAAATGGTTTTCCCTCCCTATTGCTGTGTCTAGTATACTAGGACGAAACCAAACCAAACTGAAATGTGGCAAAAACTTAGCGAATTCTTTTTTCAATAAATATATTTGACTATGAGTTAATGTAACTATTTTTATGACCTAACTAGTTGCGCCCGCTGACTTCGTCTACGTGGAATAGCAATGCAATATTTTTGATGCCCAAAATAAGGGCATCAAAATTTATTTTTGCAAACAACCATTTTTGCTTTATAAACTCGAGCTGTTATCACCAAACGTCATTCACGACCGTTCGTTCTTGCAAATTATCTTAGAAGCTATACTGTCGCGGAATTTTTTGTTGAAAATTCAAACAGGAATAATTCTTTTATATTTTTTTTTTGTTTCTTAAACCGTTTTCGCAGTGCACTAAAAGGTGGCATAATTTTCCCCTGTTATTCCCACAACATGATGATATATAGCCTAAAGCCTTCCTCTATCCTCATCTCCTATCTATAAGATAATAATTTTTCAATTCTAACCAGTAATTCCTGAAATAAGCATTTGAAACAAACAAACGCCAACGAGACAAGTGTCGAGCAATTTTTTGGGCTATCTTTCCGTCACAAGCGATTACAGCCATTAAGACCAACTTTTTCAATCATTAACTTCGCTCAAACATTGAGTCTTAAAAGGTTAAATTGGGCAGATCAACGTTAATCTTTTATAGTAACGAATTGCACCCAGGGTACTAATAAAATAGCCACGATCATTCTGCGATAGGACTTTGCCCCGGTGATAAGAGAACAAAGAAAACTCTCCACGCTCGGCGAGAATATTACTTGTTTAATTATACAAGTGAGGTAGTATTGCGCGCTGAGTGTCTCGAAACCAAACAAAACTAATGCTGACATACAACATTCCATATCTTGTATGTAAGCACACCTGTGGGATTAACCACCCACAGCCACAACGGACAAACACTTCGAGATTGCCGCTACGTGAGAATTATTTTCTCTATAAACATTCGTCGCGTCTAGAAGTAATTTGATTGCTAGTTCAACTTTAAAATAAAACCGTTTTCACACGTTCTAAGGCGAAATTTATTAAATTGAACACTTTTTCGATTTCAAACGCGAAATGTATTCGTTAAACTTATGAACAATAAGTCCAGCTTTTAACTTCGCAGCAGTAGTAGTCCCCCCATGACTGCTGCAAAGCATTCGAAATTTATTTAAACGTGTCTACTTGCGTAAACGACGGCAGTATTTAAGTACAGCTAAAATGCTTCGCTAAACTTACTCGTATTTATTAATGTTCAAGAAACATTGGATGTTGATAAACGTTTGATTAGACCAAACTTTCTTGAATATTAACATAATTTTAAGTTCCGCACTTCCTGCATATTCCTTTAATTTAAGTTGTTTTCCATTATTTTCCTAAGAAGGATCGCCTGGAAGAGATCGCTTAATAACTATAAGGCCGGCCGTTACACTGCATAATTTATAGATATGATTATTATTTTTAGTTCATTGTAATTGTGTGAGTGTGTTGTGCAAAATGTATAAATAAAATAAATAAATAATTACGTGACATTATTTTTCTATCATTAATTGATCTTCCTAAGCAGGTCTTAAATTAAGTGAATACATTTCTTAATTTTCTTAAGCGCTGGCTGATCGCTTGTGGTGGGCATAGAAAACTGCCTTAGCTTATATAAATACTAATAATAGTAACCACGATAGACACTACAAGATAAAAATATGTATTAAAGAATGATTCCTCTATAAATGATCTAAAAATGTTGTATATCTTTTAAGATGAACGACGGAACATGACCGACGTCGTGGGTAACACTTAGTCTATTAAGATGAAGAGGAGGTTTGCAAAAAGTTGAATGAAATACTGTCTATAGTTTACGCGAGTAGTACACATTTAAATAAAACACTTTAACGGTTTAAAACGCGATATATTAGTTAAACTCCATGTTGGTCACGTTAGAAGGTCACGACCGAAGTTAAAAATCATTTTCAAATAAGTTTAACTAATATATCGCGTTTTAAACCGTTAAAGTGTTTTATTTAAAAGTTGAATGCCCAAAACAACTACGCGGTCGTGGCGTTCGAAGTCGCTGACACAGCTAGTTGTATAGAACCCGTAAATAAATAGACGTATGTAGAAATTACGACACCGTA